CCGCAAGTAGTCCAGTAGCCCGCCGGCGAGGCTCAGGGAGCCGAACCGTCCGGCAATGCAGGAGGATGAACCTGCTCAATCCCTGCCCAGCGCGGCCACTGCCGCCAGTTCCTCTCATCGCCTCCGTGTCACCCTGCCGCCGACCACTCCTCACGGATAATGGCCTATTTATCCGATCATCTGCGACTGGAGTCTTAGAGCCTGTTTATCACCATCTGTTTTAGGATTAGCACGTGCAGGCAAGCACCCACAACCATTTGCAGGCTGGTATTGAGCTTCTGCTTTCGCAGTTTCCTTTCGTAGCATGTCGGCGGGCACTTTCCAGCAGGCGAAAATAAGACGCGCTCCTCCACCCCTCGCTTCTGCAGCTAGCAGCACGAAGGTGTTTCTGCAGTTCGTTGCGTTTACTACGACTTCCACCGAGGCTGCATTGCATAAAACAGGTCCGTGACACACGCAGTGGCAAAGGGACTTCCCGGTGGTAACTCCCCGTCCACCAGCACGTTCCCACGCACAGGCTGAGGTCGTCCAGCTCCGCCGAGTCAAAACATTCGACAAGCAGCGAGGGGTACGTCTTTGTGCGCGGTAGTCACGTGGTATCCCATGGGGCAATCCGCTGCGGTCCACCGCACGATGTGAATCGCGTTGATCCCGCACACCTCTTGCTGCGTCATAAGCCCTTGATGCGCTGGAGCTGTGCTTGACCGTGGTTTCTTGGACGCTCTGGGCAGTCCGACACGATGTCGTAAGCTGGTCGGCTCTTTCCTCCCTAGTGCTGTGTACGGGCCGCGCCATAAACACGATAGGACTTGCTGCTCAAGAAGGATATCCTTGTACCCGGCTCAGGTGCCGCTTCGCTCCATTGCCTGTGATATACTTGTAGCAAGTGCGCCACTTGGAGAGAAAGTCGCCTGCAGCATATCGCTCCACTGAGCTACCCGCTTTTTCAGGAGGTACAGTACGCGCAGAAGCCCAAAGATAAGAGAAAAAACGTCCATATAGTCACGTGCGGGTCTGGTCCGGCGTCGTCGAGGGCCGTACTCCTACGTCGCAGAATACGGCGTGAATTGCTCCCGGCTGATGTCGCTGGGATGGATAGATTAGAGCCATGATTACCCTATCGCCCCGTTTGCTAATAGTCTCAACTTAATCCTATTTCAGATGATCGTAGACAGGTTCTTAGGACCCGGAGTGAAAACCCACCCGGACGCCTCGACGGTTTCAGGTGTTCTCCGCAAGCGTCCACCACGTCGCCGCCAAGGGACCGTCGAATGCGTTGGACAGCGGCGCGAAACGCGGGTGATTCGGGAGAATCTTCGACCGCCGCCACCTGAATGAAAAACTGTTCGAATCCAGCCGGCGAATAAATGGTCAGAATCCGGGCTGGCTTCGAACCACCATTCTTGAACGTATGGGGCGTCTCGCGCGGAATTAGCACAAACCCGCCGGCCACCGCACGGACCGTCGTTGGCCCCACGGTAATTTCTACTTCACCTTCCAGGATGTAGAAAGCTTCTTCTGTTTCGTGATGGACGTGTAACGGCGGCCCGTCAACATCGACGGTGAATTCCAGGAGCGAATACGCTCCTCCCGTCTGTTCAGAGGTAGCTTTGACGACTACTTCGGGATGGCCCGGCGGAGCGTATCGGTCGCCTTCACCGTCCGCCAATACCCATGCGCCCTCAAGCGCCTCCATAATTCGATTACAAAACCGTCAGTTACAAAACCGCCTCAGCGATGCGTTCCAGGTCGTCCAATACGCTTCTGTCCGTGGTGCTGGCGACTCTGACGATAACGCGGTTCGCCCCGGCATTGGCGAACTGTTCTATCAGCCCCCGGTCCGCAGGCTGTCCGAATACGGTGACGCTGATTCCAGACGGGTCACGCCCGGATGCCTCGGCAAGTTCATCAATAGCCGCCCTGCCGGCCGCGATCTGTTCGGGATTCGATGCCGTGGGCATCCATCCGTCCCCCCACCGCACGACTCGGCGGAATACGTTCCTGGCATTGCCACCCAAGATCACCGGAGGGCCGCCTTCCTGCGCCGGTTTGGGATTGCACTGGACCGGAGGAAAGTCGTAATAGCGGCCATGATATTCAGCCGTGTCCTGAGTCCACAGGGCACGCATCACCTCAATAGCTTCCCTAGCCTGAGTCCACCGGTGATCGAAATCGCCCCCCATTATCTCGGTTTCTTCGCGTAACCAACCGGTCCCAATACCAAGCAGAAAACGCCCGCCAGAAAAACGGTCCAGCGTGGAAATTGCGCCCGCCAAAACCAACGGGTTTCGTTCCGGTATTAAAGATATGCCAGTCCCGAGCTTAATCTTACTGGTAACTGCCGAAGCGCGCGCTAGCCCGATGTACGGGTCCGCCATGTCGCTCATGTAGTCGGGAATAGATCCATCTGGTGAACCGGGATATTTCGACGCCGGGTTGACCGGCATTACCGGGTGTTCCGGCAGCCAGATCGATTCGAAGCCAAGCGATTCGGCTTTGGCGGCTATGTCTGCGACATCAATAGAATTGGTGGAGATTGACATGTTCAATCCGATTTCCATTCTAGCCTCCGGTGGCAACTGGTGCGTGACATTTATCAACATCGCGATGATAGCACGGCGCTTAACGCCGGTCTATGTGCCGGCCGGTTATACCCTCAGAGCTTCTGATTAATAAAGCACCCATTTAGCCGTGCCAAACAGCGCTTCCCAGTACCATATCGGCAACCAACGAGCAACCCGCCGTTGCGGAATGATATACTGATTCCCACGTCTGACACTTGGCAATAAAGGGTTCTCAATACATGCCTCTATACATCATGCTTGCTAATTTCACCGGCCGAGGCCGGCGTATGGGCCAGTCTAATCCGAACTTACTGAGCGAAGCGGCCTCGGATGTGGAAACTCAGTCCAGCAAAGTGCTTAGCCAATACGCCGTATTGGGCCGTTACGACTTTGTCATCATCACCGAGTCATACGACAATCAGTCCGCGGTCCGACTATCTCTCGAACTGGGAATACGCGCCGGATTGAATATCGAAACTCTACCCGCATTGCCAATCGGTGTCCTGTCCGACGAAGACCACATCAACTTCCTGCGTGATGCTGCCGTGGCCCTCAACTTGCCTTCAGGGCCCGACGATTCGGATTCGTCCGACGACTGGCGCCTGCCCGACGAACCAGAATAAGCCCGTAATCTGCATTGCCATTACTGCGTCCAATATGGTTATCAATCGCCCGCCCACCGTAATGACCATCGCCGGATCAGATTCCGGAGGCGGCGCAGGTATTCAGGCCGACTTGAAAACCTTTCCGGCTTTGGGCGTTTTCGGCACATCTACGTTGACCGCGATAACCGCGCAAAACACCATCGCTGTGTCCGCGGTTCACGAAATTCCCACCGATATCATCACCGCGCAAATCGACGCGGTACTAACCGATATCGGAGCCGATGCCGTCAAAACCGGCATGCTTTCATCCACCGCGATCATCGAAGCAGTGGCAGAAGCCGTCCAGCGGCATCGTGTGCCGATCCTCGTCGTAGACCCGGTCATGGTTGCCAAGAGCGGCGACCGGTTGCTCAGGCAGGAAGCCATCGGAGCCATGCGTTCCGTCCTGCTCCCTCTGGCAACGGTCGTAACTCCCAATATCCCCGAAGCCGAAGAATTGACCGGCATCACCGTCGCTAACGACGCAGATGCTCGCCGGGTGGCCCAGGCCATCGTGGATATGGGCGCCAGTTCGGTCGTAGTCAAGGGCGGGCATCGCGATGGACCGCCAACCGATCTTTTTTTCGATGGCGATGAGTTCCACGAGTTCACCACCAAAAGGATCCCGACCGTCAACACCCACGGTACGGGCTGCACGTTTGCTTCCGCCATCGCATCTTACCTGGCTCACGGTGAGCCTGTCGCCATCGCCATCAGTCGGGCAAAAGACTACGTTACCGAAGCCATTCGCGCGTCTTATAGTATCGGCAGCGGGCATGGGCCGCTTCATCATTTCTACGCATTTTGGAAATAATGGCAAGGCCGGCAGGTTACGGCCGGTATTCCGCGTCGAAAATTGGTGACCCGTGCACGCCTGTTCCGGTAGCAGGTCACGCAATATCGTAATCCCGCGGCTTCGTGCCCAGGACCCGAACGATAGACACCACTGGAGAAGGGGTACCAGCCATGTTTGAAGTGGTTTCCAGCCGCGTCAGCTTTCCGGATATGGAATCCGAAGTTCTGCGTTATTGGCAGGATCACGACGTATTCCGGCGTTCTGTTGACGACCGGCCCGATGCACCCTTATTCATGATGTATGAAGGGCCTCCCACTGCGAATGGAAGCCCGGGGATTCATCACGTGCTCGCCCGTGTTTTCAAGGATGTCATTTCCAGATATCGCACCATGAAAGGCTGTCGCGTGATCCGCAAGGGCGGATGGGACACTCACGGCCTGCCGGTGGAGCTGGAGATCGAAAAGGAGCTTGGTCTTAGGTCCAAGCGCGATATTGAAGAATACGGTATTGCTGAATTCAATCAACGCTGCCGCGAGAGCGTGTTTCGCTATGTGAAAGAATGGGAAGTCATGACCGACCGCATCGGTTACTGGGTCGACATGGATGATCCCTACGTCACCTTGGATAACGACTACATTGAAACTGGGTGGTGGATCCTGAAGGAACTTTGGGATCGCGGTCTGCTGTACGAAGACCAGCGCGGCACTCCGCACTGCCCCCGCTGCGTCTCCAGCCTCTCGTCCCACGAAGTTGCGCTGGGTTACCGCGAAAACACCCCCGACCCTTCGGTTTTCGTCAAATTCGAAGCTACCCGGTGGTTGGACGGTACGCCCCCCGTCGTACCCACCTACTTGCTGGCCTGGACCACCACGCCCTGGACGCTTCCCGGAAACACCGCCCTCGCCGTTAGCGCCGAGGCTGAATACTCTGTCCTTGAGATTACCGCCGACACTGCTTCCCCATACCGCATGGTGGTTGCCACCGACCGTCTGGCCGCGGTTTCGGTCGGAATATCAGGTATTGGACACCGTCGATGGCGCCAGGCTGGTGGGGATAACCTACCAACCTCTATACGATGCCGTAGCATACGGTTCGCCTATCAGCAAATTCACTCGCCGCGACAGTTCCTCAGGAAATACCACCGTGGAACTTTTGGATGCCGATGGTTACGATCCCCATGTCGTCGCCGCCGACTTCGTGAGCATGGACGACGGCAGCGGAATCGTACACATCGCTCCCGCCTTCGGCGACGAGGACCTGGGCCTCGGCCGGGAAAAGGAGCTTTCATTTGTCCAACCGGTGGACCTGCAGGGGATCATCACCGGTGGGTATCCCTTCGCCGGCAAATTCGTAAAGACGCCGACCCGGACATTTGCGCCGACCTGGACGAGCGCGGTCTCCTCCACCACCAGGAAACCTACCGACATACCTATCCCTTCTGTTGGCGCTGCGACACCCCACTTCTCTACTACGCGAAATCCTCGTGGTATATCCGCACCACCGCCGTAAAGGATCGTTTGGTGGGCGCCAATAGCAGCATCAATTGGTATCCCGAACACATCCGGGAGGGAAGGTTCGGCGAGTGGCTACGCAATAACGTCGATTGGGCGATTTCCCGTGAGCGTTATTGGGGAACCCCAATCCCGGTCTGGCGGTGCGAAACCTGCGAAACCGTAACCTGCTTGGGCAGCGTTTTCCGAATTGGCCGAACTGTCCGGCGCTGTTGTTGATGATCTGGATTTGCACCGTCCGTACGTTGACAACGTCACCTGGAATTGCGGTTCGCTGGATTGCGACGGCACGATGCGTCGTATCCCAGAGGTGATGGACGCGTGGTTTGACTCCGGAATGATGCCGCTGGCTCAATGGCATTATCCCTTCGAGAACACCGAGATCGACCACGACGGCCGCCTCCCCGCTGACTACATCTGCGAGGCGGTGGATCAGACCCGCGGCTGGTTCTACAGCCTCCACGCGTTATCAACGCTATTGAAGGACGACGTTGCTTACCGGAACGTCATTTGCCTTGGACTCATTCTCGACGGCCGCGGCCGAAAGATGAGCAAGCGTTTGGGAAACGTCGTTGACCCGATCACGGTTCTTGACACCCACGGCGCCGACGCGTGCGGTGGTATCTGTTCACCGCGTCCCATCCCGGCGAAGCCCGACGTTTCTCCGACAAACTGGTTAATGAAACGCTCCGTCGGGTGCTCCTTACTTTGTGGAATGTGTACTCCTTCTTCACCAACTATGCGAACATTGATGAATTTGAACCCGATCAAATCCCCGCTGACTGGCGTCCCGAAGCCGAGTTGGACCGTTGGATACTCTCTGAGTTGAACACCCTGGTGCAACAGGTGGACGACAACCTAGACCACTACAATCCCACCGATGCTGGTCGTCGCATCCAGGAATTTATCGATATCCTGTCCAACTGGTACGTGCGTCGGTCGCGCCGCCGTTTCTGGAAGAGCGAAAGCGACACCGACAAGCTCGGCGCATACGCGACGTTGTATAACTGCCTAACTACAGTTGCCAAGCTGATGGCCCCGTTGGCGCCCTTCGTGGCCGAGCAGATGTATCGCAACCTCGAACAGCGTTACGATCCGGGCGCCCCGGATAGCGTGCATCTGGCCGTGTTCCCGTCAGCCGATGTTGAATTGATTGACCGAGCGTTGATGGACGCCACTCGGTTGGCGATGCGCGTGGCCAGCATGGGTCGGGCTGCCCGCAGCAAAGCCAAGCTCAAGGTGCGCCAACCCCTGGCGTCGGTGGTGGTGCGCACCCGCACGCCCGACGAGGCTCAGTATCTGGACTGGGTTAGCGGGCAAATCCTCGAGGAACTTAACATAAAGGAACTCCATACCGTGGGAGCAGAACCCGATCTTTACGACCAGGCATTGTCGGCCGCTGGCGACAATGCTGAGGCTATCGTTTCAGTTGAAGGATTTTCGGCGTCCCTGGAATCTGGCTACATGGTGGCGATTGACACGCGCATAACTCCCGAATTGGCCGATGAGGGATTGGCGCGGGAACTGGCTCACCGTATTCAGAATCTGCGCAAGAACGCCCGCTACGAGATCACCGATCGGATCATCACTTACTATCAGGGTCCCTCTGATATCGTCCGAGTCATGGATGGTCACCAGGCGTACATCATGCAGGAAACGCTGAGCGAAGCCCTGTTGGCCCAGGAACCCGACCCTGACGCAAGCTCGGAATCTCAAAGCATCGAAGGTATGGAAGTGGTGCTGGGTGTGCGCCGCGTAACACCCTGATCCACCATATTCCATATTTGATCTGGTTGAAACAACCGATGCCCAAATCACCGGATGCCTGAATTACCCGAGGTGGAAAACGCACGTCAGTACCTGTTGAGGGCGGGGCTGGTGGGCAGCGTTCTGGGGGCACCTGACATAACCTGGCCGAAAACGGTCCGCCGTCCCTCGGTTGGAGAATTTATCGAAGGCATCGTGGGTCGCCGGGTGGAAGGGATACAGCGGCGCGGAAAGTATCTGATCTCGGCGTTGGACGACGGTAACAACCTCATCCTGCACCTTGGAATGACCGGTAGCCTGCGTATCACCAACGCCACGCAACCTGAACAACCCATGGTTCGCCATACGTTTCCGCTGGATGGTGGGCGACGGTTGGATTTCAGTGACCCTCGGAAATTCGGGCACCTGTGGTTGCTTGCCGATCCCGCCGATGCAATGCCCACGATGGGGCCGGAGCCGCTTGAACCATCATTCACCGCCGACGTTTTGGCCGGGATACTGAATGGCCGCCGGGCGCCGATCAAGGCATTGTTGCTGGAACAGTCGGTCGTGGCCGGGCTCGGCAACTTGTACGCTGACGAAGCATTGTACCTGTCGGGTATCCATCCTGAACGTATCGGGCAGAACCTCACGGATTGTCAGATCCGCCGTCTCCACGCATCCATCGTGTCAGCGCTATCGCATTCGGTTGGCGAATATGCCCGGGCCCGCGACGCTCACTGGCCCGATCCCCCGGTGGCTCTGTCACCCTGGAGCATCCGCCGCAGCAAGGGTGACCTGTGCCCCCGCTGCGGGATCGAGGTCCAGCAGTTGCGTGTGCGCGGCAGAAGCAGTTGGTTCTGCCCCAATTGCCAGCCACCTCCGTAACGATACCAGCAGAATCGGCGACCGGCGGCCGGTTCCCCGTGCCCAGTCTTCCAATTGTCCACCCAAATAGATCCTCCTAATCCTCAGCCCAAACTCTGCTCATTCTGAGCACCAACTCCGCTCATTCTGCGCCTGTCGAAGGATCATCCTGAACCGGTGGAAAACCCGCGGTTACCCTTCGAACTTGAGGGCTCCCCGCATTCGGAAGACTGTGTTAAATACGTACGATTATTGACGGCAGGCTACGGTGACTCGTACACTGTCGGATACTGAAATCCTCGTTGGCTCAGCGCAAATCTTGTTGTGCGTCATAACGGCGTTGCAACTTGAAATAACAGTTGGAGGCTGAAAAACCATGGCCAGTTACCGCAAGCACGAAGCGCAGGAATGGGCTTGGCAAATGCTGAGGGGCCAGTGGACTACTTTGGTAACTCCATTCACTCCCGATAATCAGGTAGACACTGATGGGCTGCGCCACAACGTTCATCACGTACGCAGTTTAGGAGTTCGTGGCGGCGGTTGCACCTGGAATATGGGCGAGTTTTGGAGTCTGACCGAAACTGAGCGTCGCCTCGTAATGGACACTGTCGCCGACGCAGCTGAAGGACAGTGGTTAATCGGCGCCCATGTAACAGATACTTCGCTGGCTGAAAGTATCGCCCTGACGCAACATGCTCAGAATCGGGGATTCGATCTCCTGATCATCGCTCCGTCATACATGGTCACCAAAACTGAGGACCAGGTGGTGGACTTCGTCCGCCAAGTCGCCGACACCACCGACTTGGCGATGATGTTCTACAACTCGCCGCAATTTGGCATTACCATCAGCCCGCAGGGATTGAAGCGATTGTGCGCCATTCCAAACCTCGTCGGAGTGAAAGAGGCGAGTTTCAACCAGCAGATCTCCATCGAAACCCACCTTCTGGTTGGCAAAGAAGCCATCATCAGCACTCCCGACGAGTGGATCTTCCACAAGAGCAAAGAGTTGGGCTTCCACCAGCAGGTGATGTTCGCCAACACTTCCGACTGGCGTTTTGACACTCCGGAGCACAACTACTACGTTCAATTCATCGAAAAGGCCACCGCTGGAAATCTGGACACCCAGTTCTACGATCGGCACTTGAAAGACATCAAGGCGCTATCAGACAAGTGGTGGGGCGGCACCATGAAAAAAGACCAACGGCGCCCTTCCGGTTTCCATGTGCAAGGCGTGGGGCGAGATGATGGGAATGGCCGGCGGCAGCGTGAGGGCCCCGCTGTCCGACCTCACCGCCGAAGAAAAATCCGAATTGTGGCGTGAGTTGCAGCCTCTGCTACCTGCGGCGGCCGTCCCGACCCCAACTCGCGAGGTCATCCATGGCCGTCCCCATGCTCCGTGGCTCGCAGATGATCCAGCCGGACAATCCAATGGCGGCGCCGCAAATTCGGGAATGATGCTGCTGGTCAGCGTGCAAAACATGGCTGAAAGCATTGGAGGCCGACCGGGGCGGCGCTGACATAATCGACGTCAAGAACCTGCAAGAAGCTCTGGTGGGTTCGGGGCATCCCAACCTGGTTCGCGAAGTGCGCGACCGTATCCCAATGCACAAACACGTTAGCGTAACTCTGGGGGTCGTACCCAACCAGCCGGGCACGGTAGCCATGGCTGTGCACGCGGCTGCATTACTCAACGCCACGTCCGTCAAGGTGGGCTTCCGGGTATCGGAGTACGACACCGCGGTTCAGGTACTCCGGGAATCGCGGGAAGCAATCGGCAATTCCGAAACCAAATTGATCGGCTCCCTGTTCGCCGACAACCTGCTGTTCGACGGCGGCCTTGACCCACACCTGATGGTAAACCTCGCCTTCGATGGATTGTGCGATGGGTTCCTGATTGACACTCTCACCAAAGACGGGCGCAATCTGTTTGACTTCATGCCAGAACCCGTCCTCCGGGACATGGTGATGGAAGCCAAGCAGGCGGGACTCAGTACTGCGTTGAGCGGCCATTTGAAATTGAATAATCTGGACGAATTGGCACGCATCAATCCCGACATCGTTGGCGTCCGCGGGGCCGTGTGCTCCAGCGGTGAGCGAGACCGCGCAGTCGCATGGGAAGCCGTAGCATACTTCAAGGAGCAACTGCAGCTCCGCAAAACCGGTCAAATCGACGTCAGATCTCCCGAGGGTGTGGCCGCCGGTGGCGGCAGTGATTATCCCAACGGCAACGGCAACGGCAACGGCCATCGTAACGAAACCGGCTGGGCAATCATCGACGGGCGCGGTAAGAACTGCGCCGGGGTCATTGCGGCTCTGAGCCGACAAATGGAATATGACCGGACGTCATTCATCGAAGCCATTCTGCACGACGCATTGAACATCTATGACGTGGTGTACTGGGCGGAGCAGGCAGGCCACCGATTATTGACGCAACGTAAGGAGACCGACGGCACCCTGCGCGTGCTCATCCAACCCTACGGAAACGGCAATCGTTAGCACGATTCCAAACGCCCCGAATGAAACGGCCCCGTTGGCAATCTGATGTCAACGGGGCCTTTGCCGTTGGCGCCTCGTTGACCCAGCGCTCGGCGGGCCCATATAATCCTGATGCACCGGCGCCCCGAGATTCAGCTACGGCGGCACATGGTGCTCTCAACCGGTTTGGGAGGGCAGGATGGCCCGATTCGATTATCTGGAACCACACTCGATTGACGAGGCATTGCAAATGCTCGCCGACGGAGGCGAAGGCGCTCGACTGGCAGCAGGGAGCACCGATTTTCTGATCCGCTGGCGTACCGGTGTTTGGCGACCTCAAGTGGTGGTATGCATGCAGCATGTCCCCGGCCTGGACAACATCAGTTGGAATCCGGACGACGGGTTGTCGATGGGGTCCATGGTCACGGTTCAAACCATCGAACAGCATGCCGAAGTGCGCAACCATTATCCTGCGCTGGCCGCCGGCGCAACCGCCTTTGCCGGCGTACAGGTGCGAAACCTGGCCACCATCGGCGGAAACGTGTGCAACGCCTCACCGGCCGGGGATACCTTGCCCGCGTTGTTGGCGTATGACACCCGGTGCCGCATTGTCGGACCCCAGGGAGAACGATGGCTGCCGCTGAGCGAGGTGTTCATCGGGCCGGGCCGGACGGCTCTGGTCGCTGGAGAAATACTGACCGAACTGCGACTTCCGCCGCCGTTGCCCCGAAGCGGCGGCCTGTACATCAAACACAGCCCGCGCGGGGCTATGGATATTTCGTCAGTGGGAGCAGCATCTGTCGTCAGCCTGGCCGACGACGGCAGTTGCGTTGTAGCTCGCATCGCCCTCGGCGCGGTTGCTCCGGTTCCAATGCGGGCGACTACCGCGGAAGGAGTGTTGGCCGGCCAGACTCCCAACACCGACGTCATAGCCGCAGCGGCTCAGGCGGCTGCAGAAATGTCTACACCCATATCCGATGTGCGCAACGGCGCCGACTATCGTCGGGAGATGGTGCGCGTCCTCACTCAACGAACATTGCAACACGCCGTTGCCACCGCCGAACATGGCTCCGCCACGTTCTCCGAACTGCGGCGACTCGCCGTCGAAACGGTTTTCTAGGATCTGAGGTAAATGTTATGAAACAACCGCTGACGCTCAACATAAAATGGTGAGCAACGCCAAATGTTGGTGGACCAATTCTACTCGTTGCTGGATTGTCTGCGGGATGAAGCCCACCTGACCGGCGCCAAAAAGGGCTGCGATGAAGGCGATTGCGGCGCCTGCACCGTGCTGATGGACGGGCAGCCCGTTACCTCTTGCCTGGTGCTGGCTCACAGCGCCCACGCCGCCGCCATAACCACCATCGAAGGATTGGCAAACGTCGCCGGCCTTAGCCCCGTGCAACAGGCTTTCGTGGAATACGGCGGCTTGCAGTGTGGTTTCTGCATTCCCGGATTGATCATGTCGGCGACCGGTTTCCTGCAGCAAAACCCGATCCATCAGAAGAAGACATCAGATTCGCCATCGGCGGGAATTTGTGCCGGTGTACCGGGTATTCCCGCGTTATTCAGGCGATCAAAGCCGCCGCTGAAGTAATGCGTAATGCCTGAACATCCCCGGCGTTTCAACCTCGCAATCGCACTGTCCCCGCTCTGGAGGCGCTAATTATGACTCAATTCAAAGTATTGGGAAGAAATTATCCACGGATCGACGCCTACGATAAGGTAACCGGCCGCGCCACCTATGCGGCAGACGTTTATCTCCCGGGTATGCTGGCCTGCAAGTTGTTGCCCAGCACCAGAACCCACGCTCGCATCGTCAAAATCGATACCAGTCGGGCCGCAGAGCTACCGGGTGTCCACTGTGTTATCACCGGCGCAGACTTTCCCGACGTACGATTCGGCTCAGGAGCCCTGAAAGACCGCTACATCATGCCGACGGAAGTGGTGAACTTCGTTGGAGAGCCCATTGCGGCCGTGGCAGCTGATGACGAGGCGACGGCCCAGGAAGCCATCGAGCTCATCGAGGTTGAATACGAGGACCTCCCGGCGGTTATCAACCCGTTGGCGTCAATGGTCAGCGGGGCCTCCACGGTTCACCCCGACCTGGAAAGTTATGAAGGTTACGGTTTCACCATGGGCCATAACGTCAGCACGCTGCTAGACGCCGACCGGGGCGACGTGGAACAGGCCCTGAAAGATGCCGACGTTGTGATCGAAGACGTTTATCGATCCCAGGGCATCAACCAGGGCTTCCTTGAACCAATGGCATGCGCGGTGGAAGTGGAAGCCAATGGCCGGCTGGTCGTCTACGCTTCCACCCAGGGACCCTATCAGATTCGGGCGGGACTGGCCGCCGTTCTGGATGTGCCGGTTTCCCGAATCAGGGTAGTGGCCATGGAGTTGGGAGGGGGTTTTGGGGCCAAATTGCGCCTGACATTTGAAGCATTCCCAGCTCTCCTGGCCATGCGCACTCATCGACCGGTAAAACTGGTCAACACCCGCGAAGAAGCGTTCACCATGAACGGCCCCCGATTACCTGTCAC